CAAACATCATATATGGTTCATGCGGTACACATACGCGCACACGCGCGCGCGCGCGCTACACACGACGTAGAGACACGTGAACGTCGACACGTGGACACACAACGGCACACGACCAGAGAATATCGCGATTTGTCGCTTTTTTTCTTCTTCTTCTTTTTTATTTTTCTTTAGTTTATTCGTTGCATTTTGTTGCGTTACACAACGTGAGATATACACATGTGTGTATAATAATGCGCGTGTAATTATTTACACGTATATACTATTCACGCATGGGAGCGCGCGCATAGTGGATATGCATACGCATGGTTTGAATCATTCAGAAAACAAAAGAAAAAAGGAAAAAGATAACGAGACACAAACGAACAAAGGAACGATATACATATACATATACATTGAATTAAAACTGAACATCCAACCTTCTGTTCTACAAGAGACAGTCACAAGTCCATTTAAAAAAGACGAAAGCGTTTGTCGTAACACAACTCTTCACGGTAATAAATGAACAGCTAAATGGTCATCAATGGTCAAAAGTACAAGTAACGATATGGCGGTTATTGTATATTGTACAAGTACGCGACGCGTGCGCGTGTTTGACACAGGGCGCGCCTCGATCAGGTCGAAAGTGGCGTGCTGGTGGACGCGCGCGCGCGCCGCGTACAGGTGTGGCAACAGCGTTACTAATCAACAAAATTTAAAGTACACAGAAACCAAGGAATGACACAAAAAAGAAACAACGCAACGACAACTGAACAAACCGAAAGAAAGGACGAGGAGAAAGAAAAAATGGAAAAAGAATCGAGGGACAAGGGTCGAACAAACGAACGAGGGAACAAAAATAAAACTGAGGCACTGAGACGATGGGGTAATCGAGGAGGACGACCGATCATCAATCGGGGCTGAACGTTCTCCAGGACGTTCAGACGGCTATATCGCGATGGACACACCGGTAAGAACGAAAGAACGAAACCAAAAATTCGAGGGAGACAAAATGACAAAAGCAGAACCGATTGAAACAAAAAGCCAAAAAGAAGAAAAAGGGGGAAAGAATAAAGGGACGTGATAAACTGACGGACAAAAATAAAAGAAAAAAGAAAGAAAAAAGATGCGCGAAACGGAAAAGCAAAAAGGAAGAAATGAAACAAAACGAAAAAGTGATAGACAGAAGGGAATAGACAGGAACAGAGCGAGAGACAGAGAACGTAAAAGAAACGCCAGCTGCCAAGTCAAATAATCATGAAGCGGCAAAGAAGCCAGGCTCTAAGCAACGAGAAGCAAGCCACCTCTTCCTCTCGCTACCGTTTCTTTTTTTCTGCATTTTTTTCTATATTGTTTTTTTAATTTTTCTATATGTTCTTTTCACTATGACCTTTTCTATTTCTTTGCGCCTGCTTGCAGCCACAAAACAGATAGCCAGCCAGTATCACAAAGGGGTGCACATATATTCTTTTTTCTTGGCTGAGAAGCAACAGAGGCTGAAGGGGGTGTGTGGGAAACAGAGAGAGGAGGCGAAAAATGGTGAAGGTCGGTTCGCAGAGCAGCGGCAGGGGTAGCGAGCTCTCTACTCTCATACAATGCGCCCTAATTGTTATCCCCTTTCCTTTTTCTGGTTCGTTTCATTTCCGTTTTCGTTAGTCATCTAGAAAAAAAGAGCAGCGATGCGCCTCGTATAAATGCTGG